GCTCTATCCATCCAGTAGTGGCCATTAAGCTCTTAAAATGTGGCTAGTGTGACTGAGGAACAAATTTTACCTTAAAAAAAACTTTTAAAAAAATTTAAGTAACTTAAAATTATACACAAGTAGCCATGTGTAGCTGGCAGCTACTGTATTGAGTGAGCAATACCCTTGCTTTCACAGGAGCCATAGCTGGGCTGAGAAGAAGGCTGATGTTTTCAGCCCTGTTTTCATGGGCACCTTCTCCTGCGGGAGCTGGTTCCTTTGGCTAAATCCCGTATGGACTGTGATTTAATGCTTGGCCCATATGAAATTCAGTCTCTAGCTGAGTTTCCCCAGTATTGTCCCATATGGCTACAGCTTTGTGAAGATCAGTACAGTACAGTATCCTATATATTAAAAGCCTAATATGTTAAGGGTCCAGTCATCTTTTCAACCAATCAAAGCATTATATGCTAACTAGAGGCTCGTTTCAGGAAGATTTCTGCAAGAATAAATCTTCCTCTGGCCTATTCCTGTAAGAATAGGGCTTCCTGTGGGGGGAGTGAAGCAGAGAAGGGAGCCTAACACGCCAAAGGCTTCGCTCTCGTGTCTGCCGCCTCCATTCTCCACAGCTTCATTCCCTTCTCTGCAGCGCTTGGCTTCCTTCTATGCTGTCTTCAGTCTTCACTCCATGCCTGCATATGCAAATTAACCACCATCTTTGGTGGGTTAATTTTCATACTTGCTCTGATTGGCTGGTGGATGTAGCGGAGGGACAGTCAATTTGCATGTTTCTCTTCAGTGTTTCCCAAACTTTTGACATATGTATACCCCTTCTATAATTTTTGTAACACTGAGTACCCCTCGTACTCATGAGAACGTAGAATTAGGCGCAGCTAAGCACGGTGCAGTGCATATCCCCACCAAACTCTTCCATACCCTGTATCCCTGGGGGTATACGTACCACACTTTGGGAAACACTGGAATGCTAAGGCTGCTCAACTGCTCTCTATGACATGCACTGACCACCAGGGGGCAGATGCTTTAACTGGTAGATTAGCTTGCTGCTGGGGTCCAGCTGATTGGGACTGAGCGAGACAGGTTAGACACATCCTAGAGCCCTCCCATGGTCCCTCCCCAGCTGGCCAACCTCCCACATCTCTCCCCAGCACTGATCATGCATTGGTGGGGTCCCTTGGCCTGGCCTGTGCCCTCTTGCAATCCGGGACCCCTCGGGGAATGTCAGAGAGCCAGTTTCGGCCTGATCTTGTAGGGACCCCACTGGTGTATGAATTCATGCACCAGGCCTCTGGTGTTATATTAAAAGCAAATTGAGCAGGTGGAGGTTTGTGGTAAGGAAGTTTGAGAAGCAAGCAGTGAAGCAAAGGTAGAAGGGATTCTGTAGCAGAACTTTCCAGAGCCTTTAATGTGCCAGCATGGGCTGTGACCTTCCAGGAGGGGGCAAATAAGCAGGACTTCCCAAACTCATTGGTGTGGACCCTTCCTGATGGAGAGCCATTGTGCTATAGCTGCTGTGGAATCCTCTTAGAGAAAACTATTTTTGTGATCAATACAAATGAAGCTACACAACCTACTAGGGTCTGTGTTGGACACTCAGGGAGCCTTAGACAGTGCTTCCCATACTGCTGTAGTTGTAACAGGAGAACCAGTTAGGGGAATGAGAATAATGGCAGCCCCAGGGAGGAAGTGAGAGATATGAGGGTCTGGGGAAGGTGAGATGGGGACAGTTAATAGAAGGCATGTGGGGAACAGATGGACAGAGGTCCAGGACTCCAACACTGAAGGGCAAAGCCCAGGTTGGAGTCCACTGGGACAAAAAGGGACTGTCCTGGGACCAGAGGGATGATGGAGGAGGGAGGGAGGGAGATAAAGAGGGAGGGAGAGAGGAAATGAGGTAGGAACGGAGTGAGGGAGGGAGGGAAGTAGGGAGGGAAGGAGAGAGAGAGAGAGGGAAAGAGGAGGGGGGGCAGGCAGACACACAGGAGGCTATGTGGCTTCATTTGTATTCAGAGTTACCATATATGCTGGTGTGTAAGACATCCTCATCCCCCAGAGATAGATCCTAAAGTGATCACTCCAATGTACTCCAATTTAAGATGGAAATGACGTCAGTGATGGATGGTGCTCCCCTCTTTCCCCATCGCAGGTGTGGCGATGAAGAAAACTCCCAGCAAAACAGGTTTCTTGTCCTGTGTGTAGTTCTCTTTAAAATGAGCCCCAGGTTGCTAAGTTCATTGGAGGTAGAGAACCATTTCAGACTCCCGTGTGCGATAATCTAATTCAGTCCATCATGGGAAACTATTTGAGGCTCTCTGAGTGTCCATCACAAACTCTAGGAGGTTATGTGGCTTCATTTGTACTCAGACCCTTCCTCTGCTGGTTATGATGGCAGTTAGTCACTTAATGTGTTTCTTCAGAGGCTCTTTTGGGTATTTACTCATTTGTTTCCAAGAAAACAGTGGCTCCAGGCCTTCCATCTGCCAGGCTTGTGGTAGGCAGTGAGATGGCATGATGAACAGGGGAGCTGGCCACTCTATCCTCTCTGGGTCTGTTCCCCACCAATATATGCATATGCACATACTGTCAGCTAGTGGTCATTGCTACTGATTTAATGCCAACAGAAATCCAAGTTTGGGGTGCAGTGAAGAAGGAAACTTAATTCTGTGCAAACAGCCCACTTGCGATATAGCAAGGCCGTGAAGTGGCCCTGGCAGGGAGATGGCCCTCAGATGAGGCCTCTCAGGCTAGAACTCTGCTCTGCTCTGCTCTGGTTTAGTCGGCTCCAGCCCAGCCCAGAAACCAATCCCCAGTCTCTGGTGGAAAGGGAAAGTGCCTGTGGGAGCCAGAGGGAAGCTGGTCCTAATACAGATAAATCCCTGCCTCTGATCAGTCCATTCTCAGGATATGAGGACTCCATATCCTCAGTTTGATTGGTCCAAAAGGCACTGTAATTGGTGAAAATGGAGCTGATCTGATTGGTTGGAGAAAATGCTGATGGGTGATATAGATGTGCAGATCCAATTGGACAGGAGAAACCTCAGTCCTACTTGTTGACATAGGGTTCCAGGAACTCCTTCATATGGGCTGGCTCAGGTGGCAGAAACACAGTGCAGGCCATGTGGTTTGCATGAGAGGCTGCTGCTTAGAAAAAGCTGAGGAAGGAAGCATGATCATCCCTACTTTCAGTTCAGTAATCTATGCCCCACAGACCCGGCTCTCGGGTTCCTTTCCTGGAGTGAGGGAGCAGAGCAAGCCTCTCCCTCAGCTGTCCTCAGCCCTGCCAGCCTGTGAGAGCTGACAACACAGGTGTTCATAGCAGTGCAGGCAACCTGATAAAATGTCTCCCTTTGGCCGGTGGCCTCAGCCACCAGGACCCCTTTGGGGGCTGACTGGTCCTGTCCTGCCCTCCTGACCCAGTTTCTCCCAGTTGTCCCTGCACTACCACCATCCCCTCCTGGCTCTTTAAAGGCACATGCTTTTTCTGAAGGCCTATCCAGACCCAAATCTAAATCTCTCCTGATTGGTGATCACAATGACCACACTTCTCAATTCTCTCTCACTGGATGCCTTGGCAGCCTCACCTCCTCACTTTACTCACTCCTTCCTGAAACATTCTCTGTATCTGGCCTCCTGAGCAACTCTGGTCCCTCCCCCCCCCCACCTCCCTCCCTCTATCCTTCCCTCCCTTCCTCTCTTCTTCTCTTCCTCTCTCCCTCCCTCCTCCATCATCTCTCTGGTCCCAGGACAGTCCCTTTTTGTCCCAGTGGACTCCAACCTGGGCTTTGCCCTTCAGTGTTGGAGTCCTGGAGTTCTGACCTTGTGTCCTGGACCTCTGTCCATCTGTTCCCCACATGCCTTCTATTAACTGTCCCCATCTCACCTTCCCCAGACCCTCATATCTCTCACTTCCCCCTGGGACTGCCATTATTCTCATTCCCCTAACTGGTTCTCCTGTTACAACTACAGCAGCATGGGAAGCACTGTCTGAGGCTCCCACTGCTCTGACATGCTTGAGAGCCTTTGCTGGCAGACCAGCCCTCTGTGTCCCAGTTGTACCTAACTTCTGTTGAACATGGACTTACTTTTCTCTAGTAATTTTTTCTATCTTGACCCCTACAGCTGGACAACTCTTGTTCACCTTCAGTCTCTGCTTTCATGTCACTACCTCCAGAAAGCCTGTCTGCCCCTACCCCACCCAAACCATGTTCTTCTTCGCAAGGCTTGTCACATATGACTACTTCCCATCTAGGCTGCAAGCATGCTGACATGAGGACTGCACCAGCCCCCACTTAATGAACATTTACAAAGTTACTGGGCCCTTCTCTGTGTGAGGTCAGTGGGCACAGCGAGCATGGGCCTAGTGCATTCTCAGCCAGGCAGGAGGTGGTTCAGGATATGGAGCATGGGCATTTGCCCGAGGGTCTGGGAGGTCATAGGAAAAGCTGTGTCCTGATCTTGGTGCAAATGACTTTTAAGTGGCCCCGTCCTCCTGCCTCAGTAGCTGGAGAGGAGGCAGGATGCCTCTTTTGAAAAGAGGTCCACTTCTCAGTACACGAAGAAGTCATATGTACTGTGCTGGGGAAGCAGGACATCTGGGTTTTCAGACTTGGCTCTATGACTCACTGTGTGACCTTGGCAAGAAAGATCCTCCCTGACTGGGGCCTCAGTGTCACCATTTCTGGGTCTGCACCTCTATAGTTTGGAGTCCTCCTAAGCTCTTGTTTTGGGCACAAGAGGGCAGCCAAGGGCTTTGGAGCGCTGAGGAATGTGGGCCAAATAGGCTTGAAAAAACTGTACTGGGTAAACTGATCGTTACTGCACCCCAAACTTGGTGAGGCCAGACTGGAGGGGGTTCTTGTTTCTTATCACAGTAACTGCACCTGGCCCAGAGTTCACCCGGAGCACCTGGAAACTGGCATTACAGGAAATCTGATTTCCCAGCTGCTGCTTCTGAGCTCTGGGCATGGCAGTGGGAGGCCAATGGCCTACGTCTCTTTCCACAGTGGTCCTTTGCTGTCGCCACCATCACAGAAATCCCCCCTGTCATCTTTCTCCCCAACTTCCTTGTGCAGAGGAAGGTGCTGAAGCCCCTTCGGATCCAGACAGGAGGAACCATAATGGTAAGTGGAGAGGCAGGTGAGATGTAGGGCTGGGGATCCCCACACCTGGTTCCTTCCCACCTCTGGGCCATTGCCCACCCTGGGCTGTTGCCTACCCTAGGCTCTTCATATGGATGCCTTCCTCCCACTTAGTAATGGAATAAAACCTAAGTACTCCTCGAGGCCCAGCAGCGCCTCTCAAAGCCTTTCCCACCCCAGGGTATCAGAGTTCACTGTTCCTTTTTCAGGGACGTCCAATTGAGTTATCATATTTGCTGGTGTGTAAGACATCCTCATCCCCCAGAGATAGATCCTAAAGTGATCACTCCAATGTACTCCAATTTAAGATGGAAATGACGTCAGTGATGGATGGTGCTCCCCTCTTTCCCCATCGCAGGTGTGGCGATGAAGAAAACTCCCAGCAAAACAGGTTTCTTGTCCTGTGTGTAGTTCTCTTTAAAATGAGCCCCAGGTTGCCAAGTTCATTGGAGGTAGAGAATCATTTCAGACTCCTGTCTGCGATATCTAATTCAGACCTGGTAAATGCCTGTTGACCACTATAGTTTTCTTTTCAACCTGCAAATTTGTATCTTTTTTGTTTGTTTGTTTTTTGTTTGTTTGTTTATTAGAGTATTACTGCTCACCTTCAAAACTTGGATTTCCTATGGATTTCAGTATTCAGTGTACTATATTTCTATGAGCAAAAACTTGTCTTTTTCCCTTTGAAGGCCACATTAAAATCATTGTCAGTGTATGTGTGATCATAAGTACTTTTATTTATTCCAGTTTCCTCACAAAATTGCACTGCACATCCCATATATCAGCCAATCTGGTACTTGCTTCTGGGACTGAGTTTACTGGGGCTGGATGCTTCCTCAGACCCACCTCAGAGCTCTGCTTTCAGGTCACCACCTCCAGAAAGCCTGTCTTCAGAGCTGGCTGGAAATTGTGTTTATGGGATGAATGAGTGAATCAGTGAATGAGTGAGTGAAGAAGAGGGCTGCCCATGCCCTTCACCCTGTGCTTATCTCCAGGCGGGCAAGCTGGCAGTGGAGCGAGGCTGGGCCATCAATGTGGGTGAGTGCCATGCCTGGGGGAGCTGGCCTGTCCAGGGCCTGGGGGCAGGGAGGGCCGAAGGATCCTGGAAGTGTCTGTGAGTTTGGAGATGCTGGTGCTAGGAGGGACCAACCAGTGCCTCCAGTTGGCATGGAATCCTTGTCTGAAAGAGTTGTCCAGATTGCTCCCCAGTCCTGTCTTTGCATACTTCCAGTGGTGGGGAGCTCACCCTCTCCCATGGACAGCTCTGCATGAGGCTGAAACCTGCAGAGTTTCAGAGGCTCCCCAAAAGACTCTATCAACCTCTTGGGGCCCAGGACAGCCTTCAGGAGCTTGGCCATGTCATGGTGGGTTGGCTTCCCAGGATCAATATCACTTTGGGGCCTTGAGGTCCAGTATTTCCCCAGTCCCTTGGACTCTCTCACAGAATTGGCTCATGAGAGGTCGCACCCGTGGCCTTCCTCATCCCTGCTGTGCTCCTCATGGAGGCCCAGCACTTCGTTTGTGAAGCCCTGTCTGTCCGACCTCTCGTCTGAGCTGGGTGTTATTGTTCAGTCCGATTACATTGATGAGAACATGGATGTCGAGAGAAGCCTAATGGTTTGCTCAGAGCCCCATAGCTGCCTTCCCCCACTCCCACCTTGGATTGTGAACACTGCAAGGCCTTCTTGGTATGGCCAGATACCCATCATTAGGTCTGGTTTAACCATTAAATTATGATACTCTGCTGAATAAAAAAGTGAGTGATACATGCCATTTGTTTCTATAGAGGTCCCAACAGGACTCTGGGGCCCTTGGTTTGAATCTTGGTTCTGCCATTAACTAGCTGTGTGACCTAGGGCAAGTTGCTAACATCACATCACTCTCTGTGCTTCAGGGTCTTAATCTGTAAAATGGAGATGATAATGATAACGGTGCCTTCAGTGAGCTCAGTGCCAGTGAGGAGTTCACTGTTGGCTGTTATCTCATTAATAGGATCCAATGCCAGCCTCTTGGGTGGTGCGAGGCATTCCCTGTATCTGGGCCCTGGCCTCACACTGCCAGGTGAGGCAGTTACTGAGCTCAACTTCAGAAACCCTGCAGCTCAGTTCTTGTAGGGGTTGCAGGGGGTGGGCTCTGGCCACTGAGGCTCTGAGGCTATAGTTACAGTGTTGAGGGGTAGAGGAGGCTTGGCCCTGGTCTCTAGGACCCTCACTGTTGCCATGGGTAGCCATGACCAGCAGAGGTCACCCCCTTCTATCACCCGGCAGAATCTGGGGGTTCCCAAGGTAAACGTGCCCCATAGCTCTGCCACCCTTTTCTGGCAGGAGGACTCACATGTGGACAGGCCCAGCTCTATGGAGACTTACTGTCTTGGGAAGGATGAGCTCTGTCCCCTAACGGATGTGAGTGGGCACTGGAGTCTGACTTGTTGGGATACCCTAAGAGGTTTCTTTCTCTGACAGGGGTGGCTGTAATGGCAAGGCTGCCTCCTGACCTGGGGATGGAGACATATCTAGGCACGCAGTTCACTTTGTTAACCTGGAGACCCAGGAGCCTTCCTGAGAGCTGAGCAGGGAGGGCACATGGGAGGGCAGGGAAGGGTGCCTGGGTCTAGCTCTTGAGCCTGGCCCTGACCACATCATATCTGCCTTCTATAGGTGGTGGCTTCCATCACTGCTCCAGCGACCGGGGAGGGGGCTTCTGTGCCTACGCGGACATCACACTTGCCATCAAGGTGTGCAGGAGAGCATGTGGAAATAACCTTCAAGAGATCAACCCCAGGGGCCCCTTGCCACTCCCAAGTTTGTGTTCTCACCCCACATTATAGAGGAAGGAAGTAAAGCTCAGAGGGAAGGAAGGTCCCTGCATTACTCAGCCAGTCTCAGGCTCAAACCTAGATTGGACTCTCCTCTGTGTTGCCTGTGCCAAAAGGGAGATAGTACAGCCTCTGGCAATGGCAGTAGCTGGGGAGAAGCATGTATATCAACAATGAGGGCATCCTACAGAAGAGTGAGGGGAGGTAGAAATAATAATAATAATGATCACAATAATACTGATGACATTTACTACAGGCTCAAGCCTATGCCAACCTTTGTTCTCAGTAGCTCACCTCAGTGAATCCTCATGTTACAGATGAGGAAACTGGGGCCCAGAGCTGAGGTCTCACAGCCAGAGGGGCAGAGCTGGCATTGGTCTCCATGTTTGTGGAACATGGAGCTCCCCCTGACCACCCAGCACCTGGTCTCAGGCTGGGCTTCCAGAACAGGTCATTGTGGTTCCTGTTCTCACAGAACACACAGACTAATGCTGGGGGTGAGACAGGTCAGCAGACCCTGGGCATTCAGGAAGCAGACACGCAGGAGAGTTTGAAGGGCAGACAGAGGGGAGGAAGGCTTTCCAGAGAAGGAGGAATTTGGACCTGACCTTGTAGGAAGACAAAGATTGTTGAATAAAGTTCCCAGCCCGGTTTTGAAGGGAGGCTTCTCCTCCCCCAACCCCCACATTTCCCCAGGATTCATGGAGAGTCACGGAGGGCCAGCCTCACTCACCTGCTCACCTCCTGACTTCCTGCCCTTCAGGGCCCAGCACAGGCCCCTTCCTGCAGGAGGACTTTCCTGACCCTGCGCTCATGCTTCTCTGGAGCTGCATAGCTCTCATGGGCATGTGATGTCTTTGCCTAGTCCTCCTGCCCTGGCACCTCACCAGCTAGGAGTCCCTGAGGGGCTGTGTCTTCTGCCTGTGTGGGTTCTCACCTCTTCCCTCTCCTCCTCTGGGCAGTTTCTGTTTGAGCGAGTGGAGGGCATCTCCAGGGCCACCATTGTTGATCTTGATGCCCATCAGGTGAGTGCCCTTTGTGGGCTGGGGTCCTGTGGGCCCCCTCCTCAGCCCCCTTACATGTGTTTCCCATCAGCATCCATCATACAACCTACATTGTGGGACTCCTCCCCCTGGAAACATCTGTGAGCCCCAAGGCAGATCTGCTACCTTCATCCTAATCTGCCTCTCTCCCACTACCCGCTCTCTCTGTACCTGGAGAGACCAGAAGCAGAGGGTCCTTCCTTCTCCTCCTACCCCTCTCACCCCAGCCAATGCTGCTGTGAAATTGAGGGTCCTTCCTCCCTTCTCCTGACTGCCTTCCTAAACCAGGCTGGTGGCTCTTCCTAAAATCCCTACAGGCAGTGCTATTCTTGTCTCTAAACTCCTCAGTGGCTCCCTAGTCAGTGCACAGAGTCCAGGAGCCCTGTGGACCTGCTCCCCAAGAAAATGTTCATTCATGCACTGCAGGGTTGCTTGGCCACTGCTGGGCAAAGCATCAGGACTGGCCTTACCCAACTCTGGCTCCTGTCGTCCCAGGTGGGGCAGGGTATGCAGTGGGTTCTTGAAGGCCGTCCTGCTCCTCTGCTGCTGTGGTTTTGTGATGGTTGGGACAGCTCCAAGATCACATGACACTGAGCTCCTGAACCACATGATTCTGTAATTTATGTTTCACATCCCTTACAGTTTTATGTTTCACATCCCTGATCCCATGCCTTGTGTCCTGAAGAAGATTGAAAGGGCTTGGCTTGCTAAGGTCATTCTGAAAGATCATGGGGCCAATGTTTTGAGGTTGAATACTAGCTTTGTCACTTCAGAATCATGAGATCCTCTGACAAAAGGGAAAACCACACTGCTCAGGCACAGGGCAGTGGGGTTGGAGGGAGGGTCCTGGCTTTGTTGAGGCCACTTGCCTGCAAGTGGCTCCCATGTTCTCCCCGCAGGGCAATGGGCATGAACGGGACTTCATGGGTGACCAGCGTGTGTACATCATGGATGTCTACAATCGCCACATCTACCCTGGAGACCGCTTTGCCAAGCGTAAGCTGCCCGCCACTCTCAGTCCTGAGTTCACTCTTGCTTGGATGGGGCTTTCTCCTGAGTATTTCCTATGTGCTGGGTGTTGCAAGGTGGGAATTGTTCCCATTGTACAGATGAGGAAATTGAGATCTAAGGAAGTCACATGACCCACCCAAGATTGCATTATTCTGTTTAAAAAACATACGGATTGGTCCTTATATTAGGGTGGCATTAAAAGAATAAAAAGAGATTCCTAGGTGCTATTGGAATAGCAGGCAGCTCCTCCACTCTACCCACTGGATGTTGGAGGGTCTCCAGGCCTCTGTGTGGGTGGGGGCAGAAGCATTCCCAGGAAGACAGCACACAGGTTTGACCAGGCCCTGTTGTAGCACACAGGGAATCTGTCTGTAGCACACAGGGAATGAGCAAAAAGAAATGAGGGAAAATAAGATAAGTAGGATATTCCAAATAAGACAGAAGAAATCAATTCAAATATAATAGTTAGTAAAATAAAAATAAATGCAGGCAGGTTCAACTTACCAACTAAAGGCAGAGATGCTCAGGTGAGCTATGAAAACTCGAGCACCTGCCCTCTTTGTGAGTTTGGGGACCTTTATGCTGGAAGGGTTAGTGAGTCTGCTGTGGGCACTCAGCTGCTGGTATACCCCAAGGGACCAGTCTCAGAATTTAATCTTGAATGTGCTGGGTTTGGACATGGGGGCACAGCTTGCTATCCCTGTGTCTGGGCAAGGTGTTTTATTCGCAATTCCCCTTCTCTCTTTTGGGTCCCTGCTTTCAGCTTTGGTGCTCTTTTTAGCTGAGTTTCCCCCCACCCCTCAAAATTGTACCAAGGTAAAACAGAGCCCTGTCTGATGTGGATGTGTTGTTTAGGTACTAAACTAGCAGTACTGTCCTCACTAGACATTGATTGTACAGTATCGCAATGCCAAGAAAAGGATGTGTGTGTGTGTGTGTGTGTGTGTGTGTGTGTGTGTGTGTGTGTTTAGCTTCATTTTGAGTGAAATGAGAGGCTGAGCAGTGCTAGAGTCAGATTATTTTCTAGTCCTTCCTTGGGCACTGGCAGGGATCCAAGCAATCTTTGTCCTCTTAAGCCTCAGTTTCCTGTCTCTGCACATGGGGAATTTCTGTGTCCCTCTCAGAGGCCATCAGGCGGAAGGTAGAGCTGGAGTGGGGCACTGAGGATGACGAATACCTGAATAAAGTGGAGAGGAACCTCAAGAGAGCCCTTCAGGAGCATCCTTCTGACGTCATGGTGTACAATGCAGGCACCGACATCCTCGAGGGTGACCGCCTTGGGGGACTGTCCATTAGCCCACAGGTATGTCCTGAACTTGGCGGGAGGCGGGGACAGGGGGAATGGTCTGCTCTGAGGGCTCAGCTGCAGCAGGACAGGTGGACCACATTGATGCTTCTCCTGATATCAGGGCAGATGGATGGAAACAGCTGCAGTTCAAGCAGGGCTAGACCTGCAGCAGAACCGCTTGATACAATGAGGGAGGGTTGGGGACTGCCTGAGCTCACCTTCCCAATCTCCCAACAGGGCATTGTGAAGCGGGATGAGCTGGTGTTCCGGGTGGCCCGTGGCTGTCAAGTGCCCATCCTCATGGTGACCTCCGGCGGGTACCAGAAGCGCACAGCCCGCATCATTGCTGACTCCATCCTTAATTTGTATGACCTGGGGCTCATTGGTCCTGAGTCAGCCAGCGTCTCAGCACAGAACTCAGACACGCCTCTGCTACTCTAGGAGTTACCCTGACTGCACTGCCCTTCGAAGTGGTTCTCTGCCTGCCTCCCACCCTGCCCACCCCTCAGTGCTTCTCCTTTTCTAACCACATGGATGGCAGAGCAGCTGCCACAGGCCCTGAAGGGCCTGGACCTTGTCCTTGCCCAGGCCTGCTTTCGGGGCCTGGTAGGCAGCTCCTCCACTCTCTCGACTGGATGTTGGAGGGTCTCCAGGCCCCTCTCTGGGTGGGGGCAGAGGCATTCCCAGGAAGACAGCACACAGGTTTGACCAGGCCCTGTGGAAGTAGGCAGCTCACCCAAGGAGAGAGGAAGGCAGGTGAGGCTCTGGGGGCTACCGGGAGGACCTCCAGGGGTCAGGATGCTCCCATTTTAAAATATGTCGGACCCATGTCAGACCAAGGAAGCTTTCATCTCTGCAATGGCTGGGCCTCTCCCTCTTCTTAAATCACAAGATTTGCTTCCTTTTTGTCTCAAGCAAGGCCTGAGGATCTGGGGCCAGCCATGTGGGTGGGACTGAAAACTGGCTCCTGGAGCCAGGCCTGGTGGGGGGACTGCATTCCTGGCCTGCAGGCTGGAACCTGGTCCTACATGTGAGCAGTGGCAGGGAAAGGGGAGGTTTCCCTCTGGCATTCTTTTAGTAATGCAAGGGCTAGACCTATTCTCAGAGCCCCTTGGCTGACTGACTCATGGATGGGAGGCCTGAGGAGTCCCATCCCTGCTTCCATAGCAGGCTCACCTATTCAGGGCGGAGCAGTTTGGGGAAGAGCACTTGGCTCAGGACCTTGGCGCAAGAAGCATAACAGGGCTGCTGACCCCATTGGGAAGGCAGAGGAAGATGAGAACTGGACGGGGATTTCTCGTTTGGTGCAGGTGGCCAAGCCAGGTCCTGCAGGAACCAAGGCCCAGGTAGGGACTAAGGCATGAGGAGGCTTGGGTTTCTGGAGGGAGAGCAGAGGGTCTCCATCTGGGCCTATGGGTTGTTAGGGAAGGAGGCTGGGGCAGGGCCCTGGGTGGGGCTACAGACTCCACTGGCCTCACTCAAATTTCTGGGCACCTGATCATACTGTCCAGGATTCCGAGTGGGCCCTAACCTTGTCCTCAGCTCTACTCTGAAGGGGACTCTTGGATCCCTGAGGAAACTGGCCTAGGGGGAGTGCCCACTCCATTGCCTGGGTGTGTTCTTACAGGACAAAGGTGGGGCTAAAGATGTATCTGGGTCCCAAGTAAACTCCATCTATGGGTCTTGTGTCCATTATCTTCTGGGGCTGCTTCTGCTATCTTCTCCCTCACACTTCCTCTGCTGCAGCGTGGGTAGGAGTAGGGTTCCAAGATCACAAACTGTCAAAAATGCTGACCTTCTGGGCAAGACCTATGGCATTAACCATCATTTGGACCACATCGCACTCCACCCTCCCACCCCTTGCCTTTGTCCTTGTTATCTCTGTATCTCATCCCTTGCCTCCAGGTCAGGCCTGTGACATCTGGGGAAAGGCTGTGTGTGATGCAGCACATCTCTGTGAGCTTCTGTCTGTACAGAACTATAAAGGCTTTTCTTGACTGGCCTAGTCACTCTGTGCTCTTGAGATGAAGAATCCCTCCCTACTACGAATTAAAAGAAATAAACACTTAAAATGCATTTAGCACAAGGCCTGACATGGAGCAGCTGCCCAAGAAATGGAAGTATTTTATTCTACCCTCCTACTCTTATGAAGTAGTTATTATTCCCATTTTACAGATGAGACAGCTGAGACTCAATGAGCAACGTGATCCAAACCCCACACACATCTAGTGAGGCATAGAGCCGTTTGAACCCAACTCTAGGCAACTCAAAAGTAGGCATCTCAGCTGCCTCAAATTTAGCAGGGGTGAAGGAGATGTGGGGAGGTCATTGCTCTCCACACAGGAGGGTCTGGGAAAGTATGGGATGGGAAGGCAGGCAGCGTTGGACTCTGATGGTGGCTCTGCACAGCATGGAGGCAGCAGGTGCTCCAGCAAGGCACCGTGTGTGTGTGTGTGTGTGTGTGTCTGAGGCAGTGGGTGCTCCAGCAGGGCAGTGTGTGTGGGGTGGGGGAGGGTCTTCTAGCTCTGGCCTTTGATTGGAGCACTCGTGGAGATGGTTTGGATGGGGCAGATGAGTCCAGGCAGGTGGGGAGCAGGACCTTGTCCTCAGCTGAGCAGAGTGACCAGGCCATCTCCAGGGTTAGCAGCACACGCCTGGATGGGAGCAGGATGGACCCTGAGTGGTCAGAGCCAGGGACAAGGACATCAGATGAAGACATGAGGGTGGTGGGCAGGGTTCTAGGGTGGCCCTCTGCTGCCTGAGGAGGATGATACAGGCTGATAGTGCCAGGCTCTGCACCAGGCTCACGGTGGGAATTACCTGTGGAAGCTCATAGCACTGAGGTGAGAACCTCAGGACTGTTATTTTTGTTACAGATGTAGGCCCTGAGGCATAGAAGGGGTTAGTTACTCACTCAAAGCCCATGGCTAGAAAGTAAAAGAACAGGATTAATAGCAAGGCCTCTGCTCCAGAACTTACAAGCTGATTCCTCACTTTTAGGGGCTTTTCAGGATATTTACTTAAAGGTAGGTTCCAGGGATAATTGCCTTAATATGGAGGATGCCATGTTGCATTTCCTCTGCACCTAGTAAATGTTAGTAATGATGATTTTCCTGTAGGTCTCATTGAGCATCAAGGACAGTTGAGGTGAAATGTTTGGGATCTGTTCTTGTGGCCTATGTATTTTTCTGTTTGCTAATTATATCCCAAGTTATTAAAACCCAAGAGGAATTTGCCAACTGTGTGAGGTGGCTAAGGAGCCAGCATGGCAGGTCTGGCTGATGCTGCAGCCCAGGGTGAGAAAGGAACAGGCTGTGGGAGGGCAGGGGTCAGACACATGCTATGCTGAGAACTTGTGGGCAAACAAGGGAAAGCACAGAAGCCCCCATAGCCATCCCTGATGCCTGCTGGGTGTGGAGTTTCTGCAAGAGGCCCTGCCAGAGCGGGAACATTTGATGTGGAAGGCGGCACTCCTCTGTGCGGTGGGAGTGGGCAGAACTTGGTGCTCAAGCCCATCACCTGGGGAGCCTCGCTCTGCTTGGGTCTGGGTGGGGGGCCTGGGACAAATGACAGCCTCTTCCTCAGCCCTCCTAAGGAGTCATAGTGCTGAGCTGGGGGGCAGGGAAGTAACAGGAGTGTAGGGGGCACTATATGAAAGTCTCTCCTTCTATACCATAGACCCGGGCTTGCGGCCGGCTGAGGCCTGGGGAAGGGGTTTCTTCTTCCAAAGTCCCAGTTCTGTGCTCCACTTGGGACATTGAAGGGTTCTCAGGCAAGTAGTGGAAACAGCAGCCACTCCACCCCACCCCACAGAGACCAGGCCTGAAGTGAGACTAACAGGGCCCTGGTGGACAGCAGAGACAAGAATAAAGGTCCCAGACTGCCGCCTGGGGTGTAAACTAAGGCAGCTTCTCGTAGGACCCCTCCCAGTGAGCAGGTCCTAGACAGACCTAAAGAAGGCTTTTATGACATCTCTTTGGCTTCTCAGCCAAATGCTTGGTGTTTAGGGCCAAGAAACCCTCTAAGGCAGCCTGCCCTTGAGTTGGTTTCACTTATAGTTCAGCCAAGACTGGCTGGGGACACCCTGGTCCAGGCCCAGGGCCACCCTGGGACAATACTGTCCTGGAATTTTTGTGAGGCTGTGGGGACAGTGGTTGATGCATGGGCTCCCTCCTTGCCAACGTGACTTTGAGTACCACTTTCCCCCTTGCTGGCTGGGTGACTTTAATCTCCCTGTGCCTTAGTTTACTTATCTGTAAAATGGGGTGACAGCACCTACCTCACAGTGTTCTCATGAGAATAAAGTAGAGTAATTTAATGTATAAAGCTCTTAAAGCAGTGTCCAGAGCTCAATACAAGTTATCCATAATCATAATCCTTCATAGAAGAAGAGACATTCCGAGAGGGGGGGTGACTTGTCCAAGGTCACACAGATGATGGGAAGGCGATGGAGTAGATCCAGATCCATTCAACTCCAAGTGCTTTTCCCCAAAACTGGCAATGGTTTAAAATGAGAGTATCTTACAGAGTTTTATATCTCACATCCCACCTGGACCTCTCAACCCCTTCCTGGTGTACACCTTCACCAGCAATCCTGGAAGAGATGTCAGCACCCACTGTCTAGAAGAGATGGGACCCAGAGGCAAAAGGCAGTCATTCCGGATCGCTCAGCAGTGGTGGCAGCACCAGGCTGAGGGAAGTGTGGCAGTGTTAGTGGCTGAGAGGCTGGCTGAGCTATGGCCTGCAAAGACAGGCAACTTGCATGCCCTGCCCTGGAAACATTCTGCAGCTGGCTTTCTGAAGGGCCATCCAACTTGCAGCTTGAATTTTGCAAGTACAAAGTGGTTTTGAAAATAAAACAGAGCAGGCAGCTGAGAAGTACTTTATGGGCTGGCATATGAACAGTCGGAGCCGAGGGCCTCTGGGACCACCAGCTGTACCTGCTCGACAAGCTGATGGCACATGGAGGCCCAGCCTTCGCTGAGGGCCTGTTCTGGTGCTGGCTTCGTGCTGCTGGTCACCACTCTATTTGTAGGTGGTGAAAGTAAGACCCAGCAAAGGCTGTTAAGGAAGTTGACACCCCTGGCAAGCTCCGCCTCCTGGCTTCCTCCCCAGCAGCCTTCACACTGAAGTAGTGGGAGGGGGAGGGCCATAGTGGCAGCTGCTGCCCTCCCCACTGGCAGTCACCCCATCCTTCATGTTCCCACTTTTTCTTCACCCTCACAGCAACCTCCGTGGGCAGGGACCTGACCTCATTTTACAGACTGGTAAACAAAGCTCAGAGTGCATGCAGCACTTGCCCAAGCGAGGGGAGTGGCCAGGGTTCAGCCAGAGGCCCGCTCCCTTCTAGGACCCTCCAGCCAGTGTGTGTAGCCCACTGGTCGTCTCGTCTAGGTAGCCAATACCCAGACAGCCAAACAAAGTTACTGTGTGGGGCTCAGAGGCTATTTTGTCTAATACTCCTAAAGGGCTTGGGAAATTCCTGAAGTCCATCTGGTCCTCATTACACTACAATATTGCTGTCTCTTTAGCTCACAGACAAGGGAACATTTTTATTTCTCCTTTCAGAGCTCAGGAATGTGCCTGAAATGCAGTCCTGCAGACATCCATGTGATTCCCCAAGTTCCTTGATCACATGCTAGAACCATCATCCTTTCAAAGGCCCAGTGCTGCTCTTCCTCAGCTCCCCTGTCCCAACGCCCCTCCCCCAGGACTCCTGAGGGGGTGGGGAGGGCTGAGCTTTGGAGTTGGGTCTGCCTGGCTTGCCAATGTGCCCCCCCCACCTCTGTGCCTCTTTGCTCCTGTAATAGAGAAGGAGCTCGTATATATGAACACAAGCTTAGCATGTATTTAGAAAATGCAGGTTTCCCAGTAAGCTCCATGAATTCCTTAGCTGGTCCAAGTACCGATAGCCTGTAAAATGGGGCCTAAAACTCTAAGGGATGTTGATAATCATTCCTTACTCAGCTGGCATCTCTGCCTACCCACAGCCACTCAAAAACCAGAAAGAGAAACAAATGCAGAGGCTCCACATCTAAAACATCTCTGTGGGGCCCAGGCCCGGCCCTCGTGGGTTTTTCCCTTGGCTGGAATATGTGTGCTGCTTCCCTGGAGTTCTAGTCCCTGTGGATCCCACAGGGCTCATTCTGATTGCAGTGTCCAGAGGCTGCGTGTGGCGGCCCTGTGCTGTCTCACTCACACATGCCCTTCGACCCTGGGATGACTGACCTGGACAGTTGTTTGGGGCAGATGGCACCCTCCTCTCTTCCTTGAGGAACTCCTACCCATCAATTCCAGGTTGTAACAGTCACAGTCCCCTCCCACCCCCAGCCCAACCCCTGCTGCCCTATGAGTAGATTGTGGTTCAAGTTCAGATCATCCTATCCAGCCCCCACTATTCAGGCCAGAACAGGGCTGCACCCATCTGCTCTCTGAAGTTAGATGTGGCTACAGACTTGCTTTATGAACTCTGAGTTCAGTGGCTTGTGCATCTCCTGGGTGGATACTTTCTAAGCCGGCTTTGCCACAGTGATGGCAGGAACACATTTTGACCCATAGCCTTTGTTAGTCTGTATCCCTGAAAGTCCAAGGTAAGTAAACCCCCAACCTATAGTGGACATTCAGTGGAAGCAAGAAATAAACCTTTGTTTTTAAAGCGAACTGAGGTTTCAAATGGCTTATTGCAGTTAACTCTGAGAAAGAAAATACCCATGAAGAAGGGTTCCTGCTGGCTATCTGGGCTCAAAAATTTTTAAAAGAATAAACAGCCTAGCAGATGTTTCTAAACAGGTACTTCTCATGCAAGCTGTGATTCAGGAGAAGCCTGCACAGAATTGCCTGTTGTCTGTACTGAACTTCCTGCCAGCACTATAGTGTTCCTACATCTGAGCCAGCCCTTATAAAGAAGTTGCTGGAATCGTATTTCAATCAATAGGACTGAGACTTCCCCCACCCAATTGGACCTGCACAGCTAGAATTCTCATTAGCATCTCGATTGGCCAATCAGAGCAGCTCCATTCTGACCAATTGGGACAATGTTTTGGGTCAATCAAACAGTGAAGATTTAGAATCCTAAT